GTGTATGATAAATGGATTGTGAGAATGGGAACAAAGTGGATGAGGAGATCACGGTAGTTGTATATGACATATGTATATGGTTTAATCAGACCAGATGTGATTGGTATTTATTCATTGACCGGTTACTCAGTTGTTGTTTAGCATTGCTACAATCGAAATAATAATATTGATGATTGTGGCAGTGAGAGTGGAGTGAGATTTTAAGGAGTGAATAATGCCACTTAATTGGTAGTGCATGATATAAACACTGTAAGATGTTGTACTACGGTGTGTGGTGTGGGGCAATTGTTTTCGGTGTGTAACTGCCTCTCACCAGACAGCGTATTCAAGTATCTCCATAATGTTTATACCACCCACTACACGTTCTAGTGGCCTTACAATTTCTTCTCAAAAATGAAGAAGCTACTCTTGAGCACAATCGGACAAAGATCAAACAAACACTAACTTCAACATGTCAGGAGGTTCTGTGCCGTAACAAGCACCGTCATATCGAATGCATCTTTATGGAAACCCTGTTTTGGATTCAAGAATTGATGAAGAAGAAGAAGAAGAAGAAGAAGACGAAGAACGCGAACAAGAATAACAAGAACAAGAAGATAGCGATTAAGTACAATGGAACAAGAGTAGATAAATTCAAGGCACGTGTTGAATACACCGAAGCAAACAAGCGTATGGAGAGGAGCATTGGAGCCGACTAGCAGAAATTTGTGGAAGAGCTAGCAACGACAGTGGAACAATCTTTAACAGGTTGAAATACCAAACAACTATATTACACAACGAAGAAACTGGTAGGGGAATATGTTGAGTGAGAGAGACCGATCACGGACGAAGACGGCAAGACAATCACTGGAATTCAAGGACAGAGGAACAGATGAGTGGAACATTTTGACGAACTGTTGAATAGACCAGCTCCATTGAATCCACCGGATATCGAAGCAGTACACACACACAAACACACGCACGCTCGTATAGATGTCACTCAATCAACGATCGAAGAAATCACGATGGCCATCAGACGAATCGAAAGTGAGAAGGCAGAAGGACCTGACAACATACCGTCCGAATCACTCAACTCAGATATCAAAGTAACCGCAAGTATGCTACATGTTCTATTGAGGAAGATTTTGGAGGAAGAACAAGTGCCACTGACAAGCTGGGAAGAAGGACACCTCATCAAGGTACCAACGAAAGGAGATCTGAGCAAATGTGAGAACCACAGATGCATCAGTACCAGGAAAGGTTTACAACAGAGTGTTGCTGAACCAGACGAAAGACTCAGTAGACACCCAACTCCGACATCAACAGACCGGGTTCCGTGGGCATCCGTCGCGCACATACCAAATAACGACACCAGGGATCATCGTTAAACAGTCAGTTGAATGGAGCTCGTCGCTATAGATCAACCAGAGCGAATCCTTGAGTGTGCGAAGCACTTTCTTTTTCGTGAAGAAAATACAGAAGCATACAGTAGCACCGTATCGAATCTTTGCTGTCCAGCTTGCATCCAATGGATTTCTCTGATACCGAACTCCGCTAACTTGTATCTCCTCATTTATCTTACTACTTGACTGATCCTCACGGTTTCCCGCATTGTCCGAAAGTTCCGTGTACATATAAAACTTGTTGCCTAGATTGTTAGTAGGGCACCGGTCTCGTGAATTCGGAAGTACCTCGACTTTCATCAAAGCGCATCATAATTCTTCCTTCAACTCCCAGTTCAGAGTTTAAGTTGCTTAATTTGCTTATTTTCGTTAGCGCTTTATGGCGAGATTGTCTCCTATGGGATGGCGTTGCGGACTACTTGACAAACCTCGTCTTTTAACCGGCTACGTGATCGGCAGCACACTCGTACAGTTGCAGGAGGGGTTTTAGCATCATTACAATAAAAATAAAAATACTCATCATTGTGGTAGTGAGAGGGGAGCCAGACGTCATAGGAATGACTATTACCACTTAAATTATAGTAAATGATAAAAACACTATGGAGATATTTTACTACGGTGTCTGGTGAAAGGCAGTTACACACCGAAAACAATTGCCCCACACCACACACCGTAGTACAACATCTTACAGTGTTTATATCATGCACTACCAATTAAGTGGCATTATTCACTCCTTAAAATCTCACTCCACTCTCACTGCCACAATCATCAATATTATTATTTCGATTGTAGCAATGCTAAACAACAACTGAGTAACCGGTCAATGAATAAATACCAATCACATCTGGTCTGATTAAACCATATACATATGTCATATACAACTACCGTGATCTCCTCATCCACTTTGTTCCCATTCTCACAATCCATTTATCATACACGCATGCTTTCCTTCTGTCTACCAGTCGATTCGTCAATGTGCTCGCATATTACTTCGAAGCATCATTTGCATCTTCGTTGCCATTGTTTATCCAACTTGTCCAACTTGCACAAATTCCACCAATTCACATTTGATTCGTTGTAGTTTGTGAATGGATTGCGATTGACAGTGATCATGCATCATGTCACCACACTCCTCTGATGATATGATTCTAACGAAGACTGCGGTGATGATGATGATGATGATGATGATGATGATGATGATGATGATGATGATGATGATGATGATGATGATGATGATGATGATGATGATGATGATGATGATGATGATGATGATGATGATGATGATGATGATGATGATGTTGATGATGATGATGATGATGATGATGATGATGATGATGATGATGATGATGATGATGATGATGATGATGATGATGATGTGGTTTATGAAGAGTGCTGTGCTACTTCTTATGCTGACATACTCTCGTGAACGGTTGAGCAAGATTGTCATACAGTGAAATATGCCACGACAACACACGCGAATCGTGCACTTCCCCATTAATAATTGGGGCGTGTCATGATCATGATCATGATCACAAAGTGAAACCGTGACGACGACGAGGACAACAACAACAATGCATGATTGAAGTGGAGTGCAAGTCGGTTTTATTAATAGTGCATAATTGTAGTACATTGACACTGACACTGACACACATGCAAAATCACTCACATGTACTCAACAGTCAGGGACTATTGACGCATATAAATTGGTGAATGTGTTGCGAGATTGTAGGTAGGTGGTTGATTGCAACGGTCACATAGTGATGTTGAACCGATGGAGATTTCTGGTGGTGACGCTGTTCACCTACTGTCTAACAGTTGAACGTGTGTCAACATGGTTGATACGTAGTGGTGAACCTGTGCAACAACGCACTGAATTCCCGTTCATCGCATTTGTGACGACAGAGAACACAATGTGTACAGGCTCATTAGTGTCAACAAGGGCAGTGCTCACAGCTGGTCATTGTGTTTGCTCACCGCTGCCAGTCGTTCGGGTAAGAGATCACACTGAAACACATTGTTGCTCAATGTGATCGAATTATTTCACAGTGTGTTTCTGTGTGAGTGTGCGTGTGTGTCAGTGTGTGTGTGAGTGTGTGTGCAGTCGGTTTGCATAGATCTAATGTGAACATACGTTGTGTATTTCAGGTTTCATTTCTCACACTGAGGAATGGCGACCAACAAGGCATCCATCATCAACCGTCTGGAGTGGTGGTAGCACCAGGATATATGCCCTCTTGTATGTCGGCACGACAGAGGAGACCAATCCAACAGACACTCAGTGGATTCGACATTGCAATTATAACGCTCACCCAAACGGTCAACTTACAGAGTGGAATCAGAGTGCTCAGTCTGCCACAGCCAACCGATATACCGAGACCTGGAACTCCGGTTTTCATTGTTGGTTATGGAAGGGATGATAATGACCGTGATCCACAACGTAGAAATGGTGGAATTTTAAAGAAAGGTGAGTGATTGAGTTGGTGGTGCTGGTGAACAAGCAACATCTATCTATCTGATCCGGTTGTTGTGTTGTTCAGAGCCTCTATAACTGTGTTCGGATGTGCCAGTGACAGTTCACTAGCAGAGTGACTCAATCTGCATCTCGGTCATTAGATAGGTGTGATGCGATGGAATGTGGAGGGATGGGATATGTGATTGATTTATTGGTTGTTTGATTGATTGAGTGAGTGATTGAGTGATTGAATGATTGTGAGAGTGAGATCACTTGGATGAGAGAAGACTCGTGAGATATCTGTGCAAACGATGGATGTGTGTTGTTGTACATGAAGTAGATGGTCAATAAGTTTCATGTATATGGAGGGATGGTGGTGAGATGGACAGTGACTTGATTGTCGAATGTGGTGCACATGTGGGATTGCATGTGGAGTGTTTGTTGTGTGCATAGTTTGAAGGTGGATAGTTGTTGTCAGTTGATGTTTTGTAAATTCACTTGTCTGTTCTGTTCTGTTCTCTTCTATTCTGTCCTATTCCGTTCTGTTCTTTATTTGACACAGGTCGAGCGACTATAATGGAATGCCGACACGCGACCAATGGCGATCCAATTTGTGTGAAATCAGGTCAGAATTTCGGACAGTTACCCGCTCCAGGTGACAGTGGTGGACCTCTCCTTCCATCCCCTCAAGGTCCAGTACTCGGTGTCGTATCACATGGTGTCACACTGCCAAACCTTCCCGATATCATTGTCGAGTATGCCAGTGTGGCTAGAATGTTGGATTTTGTACGCTCCAATATTTGAACAATATTTCAACAATGTTTGAACAATTCGCCGACCAACTCGTATCATTCATTCATGTGTGTACATAATCTATCGATAAAAATCCACACGCAATTGTGTTAAGATATTTCTGATAAATAAACAACCTAATCAATTACTACAACACTCCATCCGTTTTCTCTGAGTTGGCAAGTGTGGTGTGGTGTGGTGTGGTGTGGTGTGGTTTAATGTGATGTGATCTGGTCTGATTTGCGTGTGTGTTGATCAATGAAGTGTTAGTGGAATGGGCAACTATTTATTTGCTGCTTATCATCAGGATGCTGCTTGATCACGATGCATGAATATACACATGTTGCGAGAGAGTAGGAAAGGGCTGAAGACGGTTCGGTTCATGTGATAGTCATTCGTTCGTTCATTCATTAATTCATTAATTCATTAATTAATTAATTAATTAATTAATTCATTCATTCAGTCAGTCAGTCAGTCAGTCAGTGGTAGCAACGAAACAGATTACAGAAATCGACATCATCATCGTATAACAATAGGCACTTGTTGTTGTTGTTGTGAGAACAGTAGGGTAATAGATGTGATTATATAATTTGGCATTATCTTTCTGATGGTGATTGGGACTATCATGTTTTCTTAGTAATACCTATCAATGTTATTCTGCACTATGATACATCTCCGTTCTAATCGATCCATCCTACTGAATTCATAAATTGACCTCTCTTCCACTTCCAACACTCTCTCCAACACACACTATATTCGAGTATAGTGCCTTTCAAAAGTCGATGCTGATCACACTCATAAATCATATTGAACTATTTGATCCAGTTGTTGATAGGTATGAAGTGAGACAAGGTTGGTAAATGCTTCTTCCATTAAACAATATCTAAGAACGATAGCAATATTTACTTAAGTGGGTAATTTTCGTTTGTCGTTTGACGTATTTGATAAGTGAGATTTTTAGGTGAGTAATTAGGGATATTGGAACATTCGATTAGCTGTTTACTCGTTTGCTGATCACATCATGTCTCAAATTTTGATACTTTCCTCATTACATACCTAATTTTGAAGTGGGAATATGATAGTGACTAGGAGATGAAGGTTGGTGTGGACATAAACAGAAACAAATGAGTCATAACCAACAAAAGAAGCTATTTTTGGCGACTTGATTTCACTTAATTGAAAGCTTGTAGAACACTAACGTTTAGTTTTGCAACTGCTTTATTCTACACACCATAAGCTTTCGTTCGATGCATGATTCACTGCCATACCCGATTCAGCTCCAAATCCATGGTAATTTAAACACAACTTTCACTACCCTATTTTACCACTCCGATTCCCAGATTTGAACATAATTGTATTTTCTTAATTGTCGGTTCGTTATGGTCATGTTAGTCATCTATTTGCTCGTGTGTCATTCTGCACTGATCTGAATTGGAGTTGTGAGTTGGAAATCGGAGTAAGGAATGAATCGAGTAGTGTTCCATTTGACTCGTCTACTCTCTCTCTCTCTCTTTCTCACTTATCAAGCGATCAGGTGATAGAATGGTTTTTGTGCCAGTTGCAGATGTCCATTGGAAAAAACACCGATCATTTCTTCACATGACATATTGATTGAACTGTGGAATACACTTGATGTTCAACACGATCTAGTGGAGAATCAAGGGTTATGATTAGACAGTTGAGATCTGTTCGACTTTTTATATCTTACAGATGATATTCATTGTTGATCAGTTTTTTGTTCATATAACAACACTTGTCAATGCATCGACATTTGTAGAAATATATCGATGCGACCAAAATAACCATAATCATAATAATTATTGTTATCATTATTATTATTACTGCGATCATCTGTGAAGTGATTATCAGAAACACTCAGATTGGCAGGAAGTTAGTTACATGTGAATAATGTGTCACAGTGTCTGAACATGATGAAGGATTATAGGTTTGTGGAGTTGATTGGAAGAAGAAGTGTAAAATCGATGGTTCGATATTGTAGACGACAGGGTTGAATCTGGAATGTGGTGATGCAAACACATCCATGGATTCTTTGTATCGACAACTAGTGATTTACATTTTCACAGTTGACTATTGGTGCTGCATCCACCATATTTGTTGTTTCTGTTTCCGGTCTGTTAATAAGGTATCATTTCCAGGAGACCTCATTGGACAGTTTACATAGTATTAATAAATTTCACAAAATAACCAATGAACCAATGAACCTTAAAGGACTGGAGAAAATTCTATTTAGCTGAAGGGAAACTTGATGGAGTAATTTGGTGCAATTTGTTGATTATATTCGTTATTAGTCAGCTGACTGAGGAGTCTTCTATTAGAATTAAACGGTTATCCAGTGCTTTCCAGCATTCAATGATTATCCCAACTCAGATCAATCTATTACGACTTCAATCCACATATGAATCAGTAAACTATGAACTCAGCTTTATTGTTCTCTCCTAATCAGTTGGTTTTCACAGTCCAATCATATATTATTGATTGATTGAAAAGGAGAAGCTGTGCACTAATCAGTCATGCTGATATGATCCAACTATACTAAAATAATTCACTATGAATCAGTTTTATTAAGTGTGTATTCAAAATGTGATTGCATGAAGATATGGTGATCTATTGACAACTAATTTTCCACACAGCAAAGATGGATGATAGTTAGTGGTAGAATGCGGGACGATAGTTTCTCACATTTTGTGACAATGTTCGCAATCACGATCAGAAAGATAATGCCAAATTATATAATCACATCTATTACCCTACTGTTCTCACAACGAACGAATGACTGCCATATGAACCGAACTGTCTTCATCCATTTCAAACTCTCTCGCAACATGCGAATATTCAAGCATCGTGATCAAGCAGCATCCTGATGATCAAAAGCAAATAAATAAATGACCATTCCACACCACACCACACCACACCACACCACACCTCACCACACCACACTTGCCAACTCAGAGAAAACGGATGGAGTGTTGTAGTAATTGATTAGGTTGTTTATTTATCAGAAATATCTTAACACAATTGCGTGTGGATTTTTATCGATAGATTATGTACACACATGAATGAATGATACGAGTTGGTCGGCGAATTGTTCAAACATTGTTGAAATATTGTTCAAATATTGGAGCGTACAAAATCCAACATTCTAGCCACACTGGCATACTCGACAATGATATCGGGAAGGTTTGGCAGTGTGACACCATGTGATACGACACCGAGTACTGGACCTTGAGGGGATGGAAGGAGAGGTCCACCACTGTCACCTGGAGCGGGTAACTGTCCGAAATTCTGACCTGATTTCACACAAATTGGATCGCCATTGGTCGCGTGTCGGCATTCCATTATAGTCGCTCGACCTGTGTCAAATAAAGAACAGAACGGAATAGGACAGAATAGAAGAGAACAGAACAGAACAGACAAGTGAATTTACAAAACATCAACTGACAACAATTATCCACCTTCAAACTATGCACACAACAAACACTCCACATGCAATCCCACATGTGCACCACATTCGACAATCAAGTCACTGTCCATCTCACCACCATCCCTCCATATACATGAAACTTATTGACCATCTACTTCATGTACAACAACACACATCCATCGTTTGCACAGATATCTCACGAGTCTTCTCTCATCCAAGTGATCTCACTCTCACAATCATTCAATCACTCAATCACTCACTCAATCAATCAAACAACCAATAAATCAATCACATATCCCATCCCTCCACATTCCATCGCATCACACCTATCTAATGACCGAGATGCAGATTGAGTCACTCTGCTAGTGAACTGTCACTGGCACATCCGAACACAGTTATAGAGGCTCTGAACAACACAACAACCGGATCAGATAGATAGATGTTGCTTGTTCACCAGCACCACCAACTCAATCACTCACCTTTCTTTAAAATTCCACCATTTCTACGTTGTGGATCACGGTCATTATCATCCCTTCCATAACCAACAATGAAAACCGGAGTTCCAGGTCTCGGTATATCGGTTGGCTGTGGCAGACTGAGCACTCTGATTCCACTCTGTAAGTTGACCGTTTGGGTGAGCGTTATAATTGCAATGTCGAATCCACTGAGTGTCTGTTGGATTGGTCTCCTCTGTCGTGCCGACATACAAGAGGGCATATATCCTGGTGCTACCACCACTCCAGACGGTTGATGATGGATGCCTTGTTGGTCGCCATTCCTCAGTGTGAGAAATGAAACCTGAAATACACAACGTATGTTCACATTAGATCTATGCAAACCGACTGCACACACACTCACACACACACTGACACACACGCACACTCACACAGAAACACACTGTGAAATAATTCGATCACATTGAGCAACAATGTGTTTCAGTGTGATCTCTTACCCGAACGACTGGCAGCGGTGAGCAAACACAATGACCAGCTGTGAGCACTGCCCTTGTTGACACTAATGAGCCTGTACACATTGTGTTCTCTGTCGTCACAAATGCGATGAACGGGAATTCAGTGCGTTGTTGCACAGGTTCACCACTACGTATCAACCATGTTGACACACGTTCAACTGTTAGACAGTAGGTGAACAGCGTCACCACCAGAAATCTCCATCGGTTCAACATCACTATGTGACCGTTGCAATCAACCACCTACCTACAATCTCGCAACACATTCACCAATTTATATGCGTCAATAGTCCCTGACTGTTGAGTACATGTGAGTGATTTTGCATGTGTGTCAGTGTCAGTGTCAATGTACTACAATTATGCACTATTAATAAAACCGACTTGCACTCCACTTCAATCATGCATTGTTGTTGTTGTCCTCGTCGTCGTCACGGTTTCACTTTGTGATCATGATCATGATCATGACACGCCCCAATTATTAATGGGGAAGTGCACGATTCGCGTGTGTTGTCGTGGCATATTTCACTGTATGACAATCTTGCTCAACCGTTCACGAGAGTATGTCAGCATAAGAAGTAGCACAGCACACTTCATAAACCACATCATCATCATCATCATCATCATCATCATCATCATCATCATCATCATCATCATCATCATCATCATCATCATCATCATCATCATCATCATCATCATCATCATCAACATCATCATCATCATCATCATCATCATCATCATCATCATCATCACCGCAGTCTTCGTTAGAATCATATCATCAGAGGAGTGTGGTGACATGATGCATGATCACTGTCAATCGCAATCCATTCACAAACTACAACGAATCAAATGTGAATTGGTGGAATTTGTGCAAGTTGGACAAGTTGGATAAACAATGGCAACGAAGATGCAAATGATGCTTCGAAGTAATATGCGAGCACATTGACGAATCGACTGGTAGACAGAAGGAAAGCATGCGTGTATGATAAATGGATTGTGAGAATGGGAACAAAGTGGATGAGGAGATCACGGTAGTTGTATATGACATATGTATATGGTTTAATCAGACCAGATGTGATTGGTATTTATTCATTGACCGGTTACTCAGTTGTTGTTTAGCATTGCTACAATCGAAATAATAATATTGATGATTGTGGCAGTGAGAGTGGAGTGAGATTTTAAGGAGTGAATAATGCCACTTAATTGGTAGTGCATGATATAAACACTGTAAGATGTTGTACTACGGTGTGTGGTGTGGGGCAATTGTTTTCGGTGTGTAACTGCCTTTCACCAGACACCGTAGTAAAATATCTCCATAGTGTTTTTATCATTTACTATAATTTAAGTGGTAATAGTCATTCCTATGACGTCTGGCTCCCCTCTCACTACCACAATGATGAGTATTTTTATTTTTATTGTAATGATGCTAAAACCCCTCCTGCAACTGTACGAGTGTGCTGCCGATCACGTAGCCGGTTAAAAGACGAGGTTTGTCAAGTAGTCCGCAACGCCATCCCATAGGAGACAATCTCGCCATAAAGCGCTAACGAAAATAAGCAAATTAAGCAACTTAACCTCTGAACTGGGAGTTGAAGGAAGAATTATGATGCGCTTTGATGAAAGTCGAGGTACTTCCGAATTCACGAGACCGGTGCCCTACTAACAATCTAGGCAACAAGTTTTATATGTACACGGAACTTTCGGACAATGCGGGAAACCGTGAGGATCAGTCAAGTAGTAAGATAAATGAGGAGATACAAGTTAGCGGAGTTCGGTATCAGAGAAATCCATTGGATGCAAGCTGGACAGCAAAGATTCGATACGGTGCTACTGTATGCTTCTGTATTTTCTTCACGAAAAAGAAAGTGCTTCGCACACTCAAGGATTCGCTCTGGTTGATCTATAGCGACGAGCTCCATTCAACTGACTGTTTAACGATGATCCCTGGTGTCGTTATTTGGTATGTGCGCGACGGATGCCCACGGAACCCGGTCTGTTGATGTCGGAGTTGGGTGTCTACTGAGTCTTTCGTCTGGTTCAGCAACACTCTGTTGTAAACCTTTCCTGGTACTGATGCATCTGTGGTTCTCACATTTGCTCAGATCTCCTTTCGTTGGTACCTTGATGAGGTGTCCTTCTTCCCAGCTTGTCAGTGGCACTTGTTCTTCCTCCAAAATCTTCCTCAATAGAACATGTAGCATACTTGCGGTTACTTTGATATCTGAGTTGAGTGATTCGGACGGTATGTTGTCAGGTCCTTCTGCCTTCTCACTTTCGATTCGTCTGATGGCCATCGTGATTTCTTCGATCGTTGATTGAGTGACATCTATACGAGCGTGCGTGTGTTTGTGTGTGTGTACTGCTTCGATATCCGGTGGATTCAATGGAGCTGGTCTATTCAACAGTTCGTCAAAATGTTCCACTCATCTGTTCCTCTGTCCTTGAATTCCAGTGATTGTCTTGCCGTCTTCGTCCGTGATCGGTCTCTCTCACTCAACATATTCCCCTACCAGTTTCTTCGTTGTGTAATATAGTTGTTTGGTATTTCAACCTGTTAAAGATTGTTCCACTGTCGTTGCTAGCTCTTCCACAAATTTCTGCTAGTCGGCTCCAATGCTCCTCTCCATACGCTTGTTTGCTTCGGTGTATTCAACACGTGCCTTGAATTTATCTACTCTTGTTCCATTGTACTTAATCGCTATCTTCTTGTTCTTGTTATTCTTGTTCGCGTTCTTCGTCTTCTTCTTCTTCTTCTTCTTCTTCATCAATTCTTGAATCCAAAACAGGGTTTCCATAAAGATGCATTCGATATGACGGTGCTTGTTACGGCACAGAACCTCCTGACATGTTGAAGTTAGTGTTTGTTTGATCTTTGTCCGATTGTGCTCAAGAGTAGCTTCTTCATTTTTGAGAAGAAATTGTAAGGCCACTAGAACGTGTAGTGGGTGGTATAAACATTATGGAGATACTTGAATACGCTGTCTGGTGAGAGGCAGTTACACACCGAAAACAATTGCCCCACACCACACACCGTAGTACAACATCTTACAGTGTTTATATCATGCACTACCAATTAAGTGGCATTATTCACTCCTTAAAATCTCACTCCACTCTCACTGCCACAATCATCAATATTATTATTTCGATTGTAGCAATGCTAAACAACAACTGAGTAACCGGTCAATGAATAAATACCAATCACATCTGGTCTGATTAAACCATATACATATGTCATATACAACTACCGTGATCTCCTCATCCACTTTGTTCCCATTCTCACAATCCATTTATCATACACGCATGATTTCCTTCTGTCTACCAGTCGATTCGTCAATGTGCTCGCATATTACTTCGAAGCATCATTTGCATCTTCGTTGCCATTGTTTATCCAACTTGTCCAACTTGCACAAATTCCACCAATTCACATTTGATTCGTTGTAGTTTGTGAATGGATTGCGATTGACAGTGATCATGCATCATGTCACCACACTCCTCTGATGATATGATTCTAACGAAGACTACGGTGATGATGATGATGATGATGATGATGATGATGATGATGATGATGATGATGATGATGATGATGATGATGATGATGATGATGATGATGATGATGATGATGATGATGATGATGATGATGATGATGATGATGATGATGATGATGATGATGATGATGATGATGATGATGATGATGATGATGATGATGATGATGATGATGATGATGATGATGATGATGATGATGATGATGATGATGATGATGATGATGATGATGATGATGATGATGATGATGATGATGATGATGATGATGATGATGATGATGATGATGATGATGATGATGATGATGATGATGATGATGATGATGATGATGATGATGATGATGATGATGATGATGATGATGATGATGATGATGATGATGATGATGATGATGATGATGATGATGATGATGATGATGATGATGATGATGATGATGATGATGATGATGATGATGATGATGATGATGATGATGATGATGATGATGATGATGATGATGATGATGATGATGATGATGATGATGATGATGATGATGATGATGATGATGATGATGATGATGATGATGATGATGATGATGATGATGATGATGATGATGATATTGATGATGATGATGATGATGATGATGATGATGATGATGATGATGATGATGATGATGATGATGATGATGATGGTGATGATGATGATGATGATGATGATGATGATGATGATGATGATGATGATGATGATGATGATGATGATGATGATGTGGTTTGTGAAGTGTGCTGTGCTACTTCTTATGGTGACATACTCTCATGAACGGTTGAGCAAGATTGTCATACAGTGAAATATGCCACGACAACACACGCGAATCGTGCACTTCCCCATTAATAATTGGGGCGTGTCATGATCATGATCATGATCACAAAGTGAAACCGTGACGACGACGAGGACAACAACAACAATGCATGATTGAAGTGGAGTGCAAGTCGGTTTTATTAATAGTGCATAATTGTAGTACATTGACACTGACACTGACACACATGCAAAATCACTCACATGTACTCAACAGTCAGGGACTATTGACGCATATAAATTGGTGAATGTGTTGCGAGATTGTAGGTAGGTGGTTGATTGCAACGGTCACATAGTGATGTTGAACCGATGGAGATTTCTGGTGGTGACGCTGTTCACCTACTGTCTAACAGTTGAACGTGTGTCAACATGGTTGATACGTAGTGGTGAACCTGTGCAACAACGCACTGAATTCCCGTTCATCGCATTTGTGACGACAGAGAACACAATGTGTACAGGCTCATTAGTGTCAACAAGGGCAGTGCTCACAGCTGGTCATTGTGTTTGCTCACCGCTGCCAGTCGTTCGGGTAAGAGATCACACTGAAACACATTGTTGCTCAATGTGATCGAATTATTTCACAGTGTGTTTCTGTGTGAGTGTGCGTGTGTGTCAGTGTGTGTGTGAGTGTGTGTGCAGTCGGTTTGCATAGATCTAATGTGAACATACGTTGTGTATTTCAGGTTTCATTTCTCACACTGAGGAATGGCGACCAACAAGGCATCCATCATCAACCGTCTGGAGTGGTGGTAGCACCAGGATATATGCCCTCTTGTATGTCGGCACGACAGAGGAGACCAATCCAACAGACACTCAGTGGATTCGACATTGCAATTATAACGCTCACCCAAACGGTCAACTTACAGAGTGGAATCAGAGTGCTCAGTCTGCCACAGCCAACCGATATACCGAGACCTGGAACTCCGGTTTTCATTGTTGGTTATGGAAGGGATGATAATGACCGTGATCCACAACGTAGAAATGGTGGAATTTTAAAGAAAGGTGAGTGATTGAGTTGGTGGTGCTGGTGAACAAGCAACATCTATCTATCTGATCCGGTTGTTGTGTTGTTCAGAGCCTCTATAACTGTGTTCGGATGTGCCAGTGACAGTTCACTAGCAGAGTGACTCAATCTGCATCTCGGTCATTAGATAGGTGTGATGCGATGGAATGTGGAGGGATGGGATATGTGATTGATTTATTGGTTGTTTGATTGATTGAGTGAGTGATTGAGTGATTGAATGATTGTGAGAGTGAGATCACTTGGATGAGAGAAGACTCGTGAGATATCTGTGCAAACGATGGATGTGTGTTGTTGTACATGAAGTAGATGGTCAATAAGTTTCATGTATATGGAGGGATGGTGGTGAGATGGACAGTGACTTGATTGTCGAATGTGGTGCACATGTGGGATTGCATGTGGAGTGTTTGTTGTGTGCATAGTTTGAAGGTGGATAATTGTTGTCAGTTGATGTTTTGTAAATTCACTTGTCTGTTCTGTTCTGTTCTCTTCTATTCTGTCCTATTCCGTTCTGTTCTTTATTTGACACAGGTCGAGCGACTATAATGGAATGCCGACACGCGACCAATGGCGATCCAATTTGTGTGAAATCAGGTCAGAATTTCGGACAGTTACCCGCTCCAGGTGACAGTGGTGGACCTCTCCTTCCATCCCCTCAAGGTCCAGTACTCGGTGTCGTATCACATGGTGTCACACTGCCAAACCTTCCCGATATCATTGTCGAGTATGCCAGTGTGGCTAGAATGTTGGATTTTGTACGCTCCAATATTTGAACAATATTTCAACAATGTTTGAACAATTCGCCGACCAACTCGTATCATTCATTCATGTGTGTACATAATCTATCGATAAAAATCCACACGCAATTGTGTTAAGATATTTCTGATAAATAAACAACCTAATCAATTACTACAACACTCCATCCGTTTTCTCTGAGTTGGCAAGTGTGGTGTGGTGAGGTATGGTGTGTGGTGTGTGTGGGTGTGTGGTGTGTGGTGGTGTGGTGTGGGTGTGGTGGGTGTGGGGTGGTTGGTGTGGTGTGGTGTGGTGTGGTGTGGTGTGGTGTGGTGTGGTGTGGTGTGGTTTAATGTGATGTGATCTGGTCTGATTTGCGTGTGTGTTGATCAATGAAGTGTTAGTGGAATGGGCAGCTATTTATTTGCTGCTTATCATCAGGATGCTGCTTGAGCACGATGCATGAATATACGCATGTTGCGAGAGAGTAGGAAAGGGCTGAAGACGGTTCGGTTCATGTGATAGTCATTCGTTCGTTCATTCATTAATTCATTAATTCATTAATTAATTAATTAATTAATTAATTCATTCAGTCAGTCAGTCAGTCAGTCAGTCAGTGGTAGCAACGAAACAGATTACAGAAATCGACATCATCATCGTATAATAATAGGCACTTGTTGTTGTTGTTGTGAGAACAGTAGGGTAATAGATGTGATTATATAATTTGGCATTATCTTTCTGATGGTGATTGGGACTATCATGTTTTCTTAGTAATACCTATCAATGTTATTCTGCACTATGATACATCTCCGTTCTAATCGATCCATCCTACTGAATTCATAAATTGACCTCTCTTCCACTTCCAACACTCTCTCCAACACACACTATATTCGAGTATAGTGCCTTTCAAAAGTCGATGCTGATCACACTCATAAATCATATTGAACTATTTGATCCAGTTGTTGATAGGTATGAAGTGAGACAAGGTTGGTAAATGCTTCTTCCATTAAACAATATCTAAGAACGATAGCAATATTTACTTAAGTGGGTAATTTTCGTTTGTCGTTTGACGTATTTGATAAGTGAGATTTTTAGGTGAGTAATTAGGGATATTGGAACATTCGATTAGCTGTTTACTCGTTTGCTGATCACATCATGTCTCAAATTTTGATACTTTCCTCATTACATACCTAATTTTGAAGTGGGAATATGATAGTGACTAGGAGATGAAGGTTGGTGTGGACATAAACAGAAACAAATGAGTCATAACCAACAAAAGAAGCTATTTTTGGCGACTTGATTTCACTTAATTGAAAGCTTGTAGAACACTAACGTTTAGTTTTGCAACTGCTTTATTCTACACACCATAAGCTTTCGTTCGATGCATGATTCACTGCCATACCCGATTCAGCTCCAAATCCATGGTAATTTAAACACAACTTTCACTACCCTATTTTACCACTCCGATTCCCAGATTTGAACATAATTGTATTTTCTTAATTGTCGGTTCGTTATGGTCATGTTAGTCATCTATTTGCTCGTGTGTCATTCTGCACTGATCTGAATTGGAGTTGTGAGTTGGAAATCGGAGTAAGGAATGAATCGAGTAGTGTTCCATTTGACTCGTCTACTCTCTCTCTCTCTCTTTCTCACTTATCAAGCGATCAGGTGATAGAATGGTTTTTGTGCCAGTTGCAGATGTCCATTGGAAAAAACACCGATCATTTCTTCACATGACATATTGATTGAACTGTGGAATACACTTGATGTTCAACACGATCTAGTGGAGAATCAAGGGTTATGATTAGACAGTTGAGATCTGTTCGACTTTTTATATCTTACAGATGATATTCATTGTTGATCAGTTTTTTGTTCATATAACAACACTTGTCAATGCATCGACATTTGTAGAAATATATCGATGCGACCAAAATAACCATAATCATAATAATTATTGTTATCATTATTATTATTACTGCGATCATCTGTGAAGTGATTATCAGAAACACTCAGATTGGCAGGAAGTTAGTTACATGTGAATAATGTGTCACAGTGTCTGAACATGATGAAGGATTATAGGTTTGTGGAGTTGATTGGAAGAAGAAGTGTAAAATCGATGGTTCGATATTGTAGACGACAGGGTTGAATCTGGAATGTGGTGATGCAAACACATCCATGGATTCTTTGTATCGACAACTAGTGATTTACATTTTCACAGTTGACTATTGGTGCTGCATCCACCATATTTGTTGTTTCTGTTTCCGGTCTGTTAATAAGGTATCATTTCCAGGAGACCTCATTGGACAGTTTACATAGTATTAATAAATTTCACAAAATAACCAATGAACCAATGAACCTTAAAGGACTGGAGAAAATTCTATTTAGCTGAAGGGAAACTTGATGGAGTAATTTGGTGCAATTTGTTGATTATATTCGTTATTAGTCAGCTGACTGAGGAGTCTTCTATTAGAATTAAACGGTTATCCAGTGCTTTCCAGCATTCAATGATTATCCCAACTCAGATCAATCTATTACGACTTCAATCCACATATGAATCAGTAAACTATGAACTCAGCTTTATTGTTCTCTCCTAATCAGTTGGTTTTCACAGTCCAATCATATATTATTGATTGATTGAAAAGGAGAAGCTGTGCACTAATCAGTCATGCTGATATGATTCAACTATACTAAAATAATTTACTATGAATCAGTTTTATTAAGTGTGTATTCAAAATGTGATTGCATGAAGATATGGTGATCTATTGACAACTAATTTTCCACACAGCAAAGATGGATGATGGTTAGTGGTAGAATGCGGGACGATAGTTTCTCACATTTTGTGACAATGTTCGCAATCACGATCAGAAAGATAATGCCAAATTATATAATCACATCTATTACCCTACTGTTCTCACAACGAACGAATGACTATCACATGAACCGAACCGTCTTCAGCCCTTTCCTACTCTCTCGCAACATGCGTATATTCATGCATCGTGCTCAAGCAGCATCCTGATGATAAGCAGCAAATAAATAGCTGCCCATTCCACCCACACCACACCACACCACACCACACCACACCTCACCACACCACACTTGCCAACTCAGAGAAAACGGATGGAGTGTTGTAGTAATTGATTAGGTTGTTTATTTATCAGAAATATCTTAACACAATTGCGTGTGGATTTTTATCGATAGATTATGTACACACATGAATGAATGATACGAGTTGGTCGGCGAATTGTTCAAACATTGTTGAAATATTGTTCAAATATTGGAGCGTACAAAATCCAACATTCTAGCCACACTGGCATACTCGACAATGATATCGGGAAGGTTTGGCAGTGTGACACCATGTGATACGACACCGAGTACTGGACCTTGAGGGGATGGAAGGAGAGGTCCACCACTGTCACCTGGAGCGGGTAACTGTCCGAAATTCTGACCTGATTTCACACAAATTGGATCGCCATTGGTCGCGTGTCGGCATTCCATTATAGTCGCTCGACCTGTGTCAAATAAAGAACAGAATTTTTTTTTTTTTTTTAGAAGAGAACAGAACAGAACAGACAAGTGAATTTACAAAACATCAACTGACAACAATTATCCACCTTCAAACTATGCACACAACAAACACTCCACATGCAATCCCACATGTGCACCACATTCGACAATCAAGTCACTGTCCATCTCACCACCATCCCTCCATATACATGAAACTTATTGACCATCTACTTCATGTACAACAACACACATCCATCGTTTGCACAGATATCTCATGAGTCTTCTCTCATCCAAGTGATCTCACTCTCACAATCATTCAATCACTCACTCACTCACTCACTCACTCACACAATAACCCATTCACACTCACATAAACAATCATGAATAACACATCAATTAATCAATCACATATTCCATCGCATCACATGCCATCGCATCACACCTATCTAATGACCGAGATGCAGATTGAGTCACTCTGCTAGTGAACTGTCACTGGCACATCCGAACACAGTTATAGAGGCTCTGAACAACACAACAACCGGATCAGATAGATAGATGTTGCTTGTTCACCAGCACCACCAACTCAATCACTCACCTTTCTTTAAAATTCCACCATTTCTACGTTGTGGATCACGGTCATTATCATCCCTTCCATAACCAACAATGAAAACCGGAGTTCCAGGTCTCGGTATATCGGTTGGCTGTGGCAGACTGAGCACTCTGATTCCACTCTGTAAGTTGACCGTTTGGGTGAGCGTTATAATTGCAATGTCGAATCCACTGAGTGTCTGTTGGATTGGTCTCCTCTGTCGTGCCGACATACAAGAGGGCATATATCCTGGTGCTACCACCACTCCAGACGGTTGATGATGGATGCCTTGTTGGTCGCCATTCCTCAGTGTGAGAAATGAAACCTGAAATACACAACGTATGTTCACATTAGATCTATGCAAACCGACTGCACACACACTCACACACACACTGACACACACGCACACTCACACAGAAACACACTGTGAAATAATTCGATCACATTGAGCAACAATGTGTTTCAGTGTGATCTCTTACCCGAACGACTGGCAGCGGTGAGCAAACACAATGACCAGCTGTGAGCACTGCCCTTGTTGACACTAATGAGCCTGTACACATTGTGTTCTCTGTCGTCACAAATGCGATGAACGGGAATTCAGTGCGTTGTTGCACAGGTTCACCACTACGTATCAACCATGTTGACACACGTTCAACTGTTAGACAGTAGGTGAACAGCGTCACCACCAGAAATCTCCATCGGTTCAACATCACTATGTGACCGTTGCAATCAACCACCTACCTACAATCTCGCAACACATTCACCAATTTATATGCGTCAATAGTCCCTGACTGTTGAGTACATGTGAGTGATTTTGCATGTGTGTCAGTGTCAGTGTCAATGTACTACAATTATGCACTATTAATAAAACCGACTTGCACTCCACTTCAATCATGCATTGTTGTTGTTGTCCTCGTCGTCGTCACGGTTTCACTTTGTGATCATGATCATGATCATGACACGCCCCAATTATTAATGGGGAAGTGCACGATTCGCGTGTGTTGTCGTGGCATATTTCACTGTATGACAATCTTGCTCAACCGTTCACGAGAGTATGTCAGCATAAGAAGTAGCACAGCACACTTCATAAACCACATCATCATCATCATCATCATCATCATCATCATCATCATCATCATCATCATCATCATCATCATCATCATCATCATCATCATCATCATCATCATCATCATCATCATCATCATCATCATCATCATCATCATCATCATCATCATCATCACCGTAGTCTTCGTTAGAATCATATCATCACAGGAGTGTGGTGACATGATGCATGATCACTGTCAATCGCAATCCATTCACAAACTACAACGAATCAAATGTGAATTGGTGGAATTTGTGCAAGTTGGACAAGTTGGATAAACAATGGCAACGAAGATGCAAATGATGCTTCGAAGTAATATGCGAGCACATTGACGAATCGACTGGTAGACAGAAGGAAAGCATGCGTGTATGATAAATGGATTGTGAGAATGGGAACAAAGTGGATGAGGAGATCACGGTAGTTGTATATGACATATGTATATGGTTTAATCAGACCAGATGTGATTGGTATTTATTCATTGACCGGTTACTCAGTTGTTGTTTAGCATTGCTACAATCGAAATAATAATATTGATGATTGTGGCAGTGAGAGTGGAGTGAGATTTTAAGGAGTGAATAATGCCACTTAATTGGTAGTGCATGATATAAACACTGTAAGATGTTGTACTACGGTGTGTGGTGTGGGGCAATTGTTTTCGGTGTGTAACTGCCTTTCACCAGACACCGTAGTAAAATATCTCCATAGTGTTTTTATCATTTACTATAATTTAAGTGGTAATAGTCATTCCTATGACGTCTGGCTCCCCTCTCACTACCACAATGATGAGTATTTTTATTTTTATTGTAATGATGCTAAAACCCCTCCTGCAACTGTACGAGTGTGCTGCCGATCACGTAGCCGGTTAAAAGACGAGGTTTGTCAAGTAGTCCGCAACGCCATCCCATAGGAGACAATCTCGCCATAAAGCGCTAACGAAAATAAGCAAATTAAGCAACTTAACCTCTGAACTGGGAGTTGAAGGAAGAATTATGATGCGCTTTGATGAAAGTCGAGGTACTTCCGAATTCACGAGACCGGTGCCCTACTAACAATCTAGGCAACAAGTTTTATATGTACACGGAACTTTCGGACAATGCGGGAAACCGTGAGGATCAGTCAAGTAGTAAGATAAATGAGGAGATACAAGTTAGCGGAGTTCGGTATCAGAGAAATCCATTGGATGCAAGCTGGACAGCAAAGATTCGATACGGTGCTACTGTATGCTTCTGTATTTTCTTCACGAAAAAGAAAGTGCTTCGCACACTCAAGGATTCGCTCTGGTTGATCTATAGCGACGAGCTCCATTCAACTGACTGTTTAACGATGATCCCTGGTGTCGTTATTTGGTATGTGCGCGACGGATGCCCACGGAACCCGGTCTGTTGATGTCGGAGTTGGGTGTCTACTGAGTCTTTCGTCTGGTTCAGCAACACTCTGTTGTAAACCTTTCCTGGTACTGATGCATCTGTGGTTCTCACATTTGCTCAGATCTCCTTTCGTTGGTACCTTGATGAGGTGTCCTTCTTCCCAGCTTGTCAGTGGCACTTGTTCTTCCTCCAAAATCTTCCTCAATAGAACATGTAGCATACTTGCGGTTACTTTGATATCTGAGTTGAGTGATTCGGACGGTATGTTGTCAGGTCCTTCTGCCTTCTCACTTTCGATTCGTCTGATGGCCATCGTGATTTCTTCGATCGTTGATTGAGTGACATCTATACGAGCGTGCGTGTGTTTGTGTGTGTGTACTGCTTCGATATCCGGTGGATTCAATGGAGCTGGTCTATTCAACAGTTCGTCAAAATGTTCCACTCATCTGTTCCTCTGTCCTTGAATTCCAGTGATTGTCTTGCCGTCTTCGTCCGTGATCGGTCTCTCTCACTCAACATATTCCCCTACCAGTTTCTTCGTTGTGTAATATAGTTGTTTGGTATTTCAACCTGTTAAAGATTGTTCCACTGTCGTTGCTAGCTCTTCCACAAATTTCTGCTAGTCGGCTCCAATGCTCCTCTCCATACGCTTGTTTGCTTCGGTGTATTCAACACGTGCCTTGAATTTATCTACTCTTGTTCCATTGTACTTAATCGCTATCTTCTTGTTCTTGTTATTCTTGTTCGCGTTCTTCGTCTTCTTCTTCTTCTTCTTCTTCATCAATTCTTGAATCCAAAACAGGGTTTCCATAAAGATGCATTCGATATGACGGTGCTTGTTACGGCACAGAACCTCCTGACATGTTGAAGTTAGTGTTTGTTTGATCTTTGTCCGATTGTGCTCAAGAGTAGCTTCTTCATTTTTGAGAAGAAATTGTAAGGCCACTAGAACGTGTAGTGGGTGGTATAAACATTATGGAGATACTTGAATACGCTGTCTGGTGAGAGGCAGTTACACACCGAAAACAATTGCCCCACACCACACACCGTAGTACAACATCTTACAGTGTTTATATCATGCACTACCAATTAAGTGGCATTATTCACTCCTTAAAATCTCACTCCACTCTCACTGCCACAATCATCAATATTATTATTTCGATTGTAGCAATGCTAAACAACAACTGAGTAACCGGTCAATGAATAAATACCAATCACATCTGGTCTGATTAAACCATATACATATGTCATATACAACTACCGTGATCTCCTCATCCACTTTGTTCCCATTCTCACAATCCATTTATCATACACGCATGCTTTCCTTCTGTCTACCAGTCGATTCGTCAATGTGCTCGCATATTACTTCGAAGCATCATTTGCATCTTCGTTGCCATTGTTTATCCAACTTGTCCAACTTGCACAAATTCCACCAATTCACATTTGATTCGTTGTAGTTTGTGAATGGATTGCGATTGACAGTGATCATGCATCATGTCACCACACTCCTGTGATGATATGATTCTAACGAAGACTACGGTGATGATGATGATGATGATGATGATGATGATGATGATGATGATGATGATGATGATGATGATGATGATGATGATGATGATGATGATGATGATGATGATGATGATGATGATGATGATGATGATGATGATGATGATGATGATGATGATGATGATGATGATGATGATGATGATGATGATGATGATGATGATGATGATGATGATGATGATGATGATGATGATGATGATGATGATGATGATGATGATGATGATGATGATGATGATGATGATGATGATGATGATGATGATGATGATGATGATGATGATGATGATGATGATGATGATGATGATGATGATGATGATGATGATGATGATGATGATGATGATGATGATGATGATGATGATGATGATGATGATGATGATGATGATGATGATGATGATGATAATGATAATGATGATGATGTGGTTTATGAAGTGTGCTGTGCTACTTCTTATGCTGACATACTCTCGTGAACGGTTGAGCAAGATTGTCATACAGTGAAATATGCCACGACAACACACGCGAATCGTGCACTTCCCCATTAATAATTGGGGCGTGTCATGATCATGATCATGATCACAAAGTGAAACCGTGACGACGACGAGGACAACAACAACAATGCATGATTGAAGTGGAGTGCAAGTCGGTTTTATTAATAGTGCATAATTGTAGTACATTGACACTGACACTGACACACATGCAAAATCACTCACATGTACTCAACAGTCAGGGACTATTGACGCATATAAATTGGTGAATGTGTTGCGAGATTGTAGGTAGGTGGTTGATTGCAACGGTCACATAGTGATGTTGAACCGATGGAGATTTCTGGTGGTGACGCTGTTCACCTACTGTCTAACAGTTGAACGTGTGTCAACATGGTTGATACGTAGTGGTGAACCTGTGCAACAACGCACTGAATTCCCGTTCATCGCATTTGTGACGACAGAGAACACAATGTGTACAGGCTCATTAGTGTCAACAAGGGCAGTGCTCACAGCTGGTCATTGTGTTTGCTCACCGCTGCCAGTCGTTCGGGTAAGAGATCACACTGAAACACATTGTTGCTCAATGTGATCGAATTATTTCACAGTGTGTTTCTGTGTGAGTGTGCGTGTGTGTCAGTGTGTGTGTGAGTGTGTGTGCAGTCGGTTTGCATAGATCTAATGTGAACATACGTTGTGTATTTCAGGTTTCATTTCTCACACTGAGGAATGGCGACCAACAAGGCATCCATCATCAACCGTCTGGAGTGGTGGTAGCACCAGGATATATGCCCTCTTGTATGTCGGCACGACAGAGGAGACCAATCCAACAGACACTCAGTGGATTCGACATTGCAATTATAACGCTCACCCAAACGGTCAACTTACAGAGTGGAATCAGAGTGCTCAGTCTGCCACAGCCAACCGATATACCGAGACCTGGAACTCCGGTTTTCATTGTTGGTTATGGAAGGGATGATAATGACCGTGATCCACAACGTAGAAATGGTGGAATTTTAAAGAAAGGTGAGTGATTGAGTTGGTGGTGCTGGTGAACAAACAACATCTGTCTATCTGATCCGGTTGTTGTGTTGTTCAGAGCCTCTATAACTGTGTTCGGATGTGCCAGTGACAGTTCACTAGCAGAGTGACTCAATCTGCATCTCGGTCATTAGATAGGTGTGATGCGATGGCATGTGATGCGATGGAATATGATGGGATTGGATGTATGATTGATTAATTGATTGACATAGCTGAATGTTTGAATGTTTGATTCATTGATTGTTTGATTGGGTGTGTGAGTGAGCGAGTGAGTGAGTGCGTGAGTGTGAATGGGTTATTGTGTGAGTGAGTGAGTGAGTGAGTGATTGAATGATTGTGAGAGTGAGATCACTTGGATGAGAGAAGACTCATGAGATATCTGTGCAAACGATGGATGTGTGTTGTTGTACATGAAGTAGATGGTCAATCAGTTTCATGTATATGGAGGGATGGTGGTGAGATGGACAGTGACTTGATTGTCGAATGTGGTGCACATGTGGGATTGCATGTGGAGTGTTTGTTGTGTGCATAGTTTGAAGGTGGATAATTAGTGTCAGTTGATGTTTTATAAATTCACTTGTCTGTTCTGTTCTGTTCTGTCTGTCTTCTATTCTGTCCTATTCCGTTCTGTTCTTTATTTGACACAGGTCGAGCGACTATAATGGAATGCCGACACGCGACCAATGGCGATCCAATTTGTGTGAAATCAGGTCAGAATTTCGGACAGTTACCCGCTCCAGGTGACAGTGGTGGACCTCTCCTTCCATCCCCTCAAGGTCCAGTACTCGGTGTCGTATCACATGGTGTCACACTGCCAAACCTTCCCGATATCATTGTCGAGTATGCCAGTGTGGCTAGAATGTTGGATTTTGTACGCTCCAATATTTGAACAATATTTCAACAATGTTTGAACAATTCGCCGACCAACTCGTATCATTCATTCATGTGTGTACATAATCTATCGATAAAAATCCACACGCAATTGTGTTAAGATATTTCTGATAAATAAACAACCTAATCAATTACTACAACACTCCATCCGTTTTCTCTGAGTTGGCAAGTGTGGTGTGGTGAGGTGTGGTGTGGTGTGGTGTGGTGTGGAATGGTCATTTATTTATTTGCTTTTGATCATCAGGATGCTGCTTGATCACGATGCTTGAATATTCGCATGTTGCGAGAGAGTTTGAAATGGATGAAGACAGTTCGGTTCATATGGCAGTCATTCGTTCGTTGTGAGAACAGTAGGGTAATAGATGTGATTATATAATTTGGCATTATCTTTCTGATCGTGATTGCGAACATTGTCACAAAATGTGAGAAACTATCGTCCCGCATTCTACCACTAACTATCATCCATCTTTGCTGTGTGGAAAATTAGTTGTCAATAGATCACCATATCTTCATGCAATCACATTTTGAATACACACTTAATAAAACTGATTCATAGTGAATTATTTTAGTATAGTTGGATCATATCAGCATGACTGATTAGTGCACAGCTTCTCCTTTTCAATCAATCAATAATATATGATTGGACTGTGAAAACCAACTGATTAGGAGAGAACAATAAAGCTGAGTTCATAGTTTACTGATTCATATGTGGATTGAAGTCGTAATAGATTGATCTGAGTTGGGATAATCATTGAATGCTGGAAAGCACTGGATAACCGTTTAATTCTAATAGAAGACTCCTCAGTCAGCTGACTAATAACGAATATAATCAACAAATTGCACCAAATTACTCCATCAAGTTTCCCTTCAGCTAAATAGAATTTTCTCCAGTCCTTTAAGGTTCATTGGTTCATTGGTTATTTTGTGAAATTTATTAATACTATGTAAACTGTCCAATGAGGTCTCCTGGAAATGATACCTTATTAACAGACCGGAAACAGAAACAACAAATATGGTGGATGCAGCACCAATAGTCAACTGTGAAAATGTAAATCACTAGTTGTCGATACAAAGAATCCATGGATGTGTTTGCATCACCACATTCCAGATTCAACCCTGTCGTCTACAATATCGAACCATCGATTTTACACTTCTTCTTCCAATCAACTCCACAAACCTATAATCCTTCATCATGTTCAGACACTGTGACACATTATTCACATGTAACTAACTTCCTGCCAATCTGAGTGTTTCTGATAATCACTTCACAGATGATCGCAGTAATAATAATAATGATAACAATAATTATTATGATTATGGTTATTTTGGTCGCATCGATATATTTCTACAAATGTCGATGCATTGACAAGTGTTGTTATATGAACAAAAAACTGATCAACAATGAATATCATCTGTAAGATATAAAAAGTCGAACAGATCTCAACTGTCTAATCATAACCCTTGATTCTCCACTAGATCGTGTTGAACATCAAGTGTATTCCACAGTTCAATCAATATGTCATGTGAAGAAATGATCGGTGTTTTTTCCAATGGACATCTGCAACTGGCACAAAAACCATTCTATCACCTGATCGCTTGATAAGTGAGAAAGAGAGAGAGAGAGAGTAGACGAGTCAAATGGAACACTACTCGATTCATTCCTTACTCCGATTTCCAACTCACAACTCCAATTCAGATCAGTGCAGAATGACACACGAGCAAATAGATGACTAACATGACCATAACGAACCGACAATTAAGAAAATACAATTATGTTCAAATCTGGGAATCGGAGTGGTAAAATAGGGTAGTGAAAGTTGTGTTTAAATTACCATGGATTTGGAGCTGAATCGGGTATGGCAGTGAATCATGCATCGAACGAAAGCTTATGGTGTGTAGAATAAAGCAGTTGCAAAACTAAACGTTAGTGTTCTACAAGCTTTCAATTAAGTGAAATCAAGTCGCCAAAAATAGCTTCTTTTGTTGGTTATGACTCATTTGTTTCTGTTTATGTCCACACCAACCTTCATCTCCTAGTCACTATCATATTCCCACTTCAAAATTAGGTATGTAATGAGGAAAGTATCAAAATTTGAGACATGATGTGATCAGCAAACGAGTAAACAGCTAATCGAATGTTCCAATATCCCTAATTACTCACCTAAAAATCTCACTTATCAAATACGTCAAACGACAAACGAAAATTACCCACTTAAGTAAATATTGCTATCGTTCTTAGATATTGTTTAATGGAAGAAGCATTTACCAACCTTGTCTCACTTCATACCTATCAACAACTGGATCAAATAGTTCAATATGATTTATGAGTGTGATCAGCATCGACTTTTGAAAGGCACTATACTCGAATATAGTGTGTGTTGGAGAGAGTGTTGGAAGTGGAAGAGAGGTCAATTTATGAATTCAGTAGGATGGATCGATTAGAACGGAGATGTATCATAGTGCAGAATAACATTGATAGGTATTACTAAGAAAACATGATAGTCCCAATCACCATCAGAAAGATAATGCCAAATTATATAATCACATCTATTACCCTACTGTTCTCACAACAACAACAACAAGTGCCTATTATTATACGATGATGATGTCGATTTCTGTAATCAGTTTCGTTGCTACCACTGACTGACTGACTGACTGAATGAATGAATGAATTAATTAATTAATTAATTAATTAATGAATTAATGAATTAATGAATGAACGAACGAATGACTATCACATGAACCGAACCGTCTTCAGCCCTTTCCTACTCTCTCGCAACATGCGTATATTCATGCATCGTGCTCAAGCAGCATCCTGATGATAAGCAGCAAATAAATAGCTGCCCATTCCACTAACACTTCATTGATCAACACACACGCAAATCAGACCAGATCACATCACATTAAACCACACCACACCACACCACACCACACCACACCACACCACACCACACCACACCACACCACACCTCAACCCACCACACCACACCACACCACACCACACCACACCTCACCACACCACACTTGCCAACTCAGAGAAAACGGATGGAGTGTTG